CCCCAAAACCCCAAAACCCCAAAACCCCATGAGCAAAATTTATATGCTTTTGAGTGCGTCAAGGAGTATTTGAATTAAAAAATTATCTTTTTATTGCTTCTTCTGTAGATTAAAATAATAGTCATTTATTCTCTTATACAAGCAGAAATTTATATAACATTGATATAAGAAATGTAAGCTTAGAAGCGTAAAAGTATTTTTGGTGAAACATTGAGGGCTTTAGACAGATTTGGCTAACCAGTTACTTTGACAATTGATAAACACAATTAATATAAAACTAAATCAGGAGGAGTCCTAACAATAGTCTCTCTGCTAATCATCATAGCCTACTTGATTTATAATTTAAACGATGTCTACAACTAAAAATTCTAAATTACCTCGACCTCATTGCTAAAAGAATTACTGAGAACAAAAGAAATCCATAATGTGTAAAATTCTTTTGATATTGCTGCTCAAGTTGTTTATACTGGTCCAGATTCCTACGTAGCTGATAATATTGATTTATATTTTACTATATACGCCTAACAGTTGAAAAGAATAGGACTTGGGGCACACGGGACTGCTAATTTTTCTCTAGATTATCAAATTCATTTTGAACCCTGTAAATCAGGTCGATTTAAAGATCTTGATGATGCAGCCGAGATAAGAGGAATAAATAATTACTTTATGTGCCCTAAAAATACAGATTTCTCTGTAATGGGTGATTTCGGATCGATCGAATAAAAGATGTTAGTTGTAATAGTCGATTATTGCAATTAAACTTTTTTAGATCTGTAAAGTCCAAATTCTAATCGTATTTGCAAATCAATGGAGGAAATTGATTAGATAGTTCCATTCACAATTCTGTATTATCACTCATTATAGTCTTAGTTTGATTAATATGATTTTTCTGACAATCCTTTGAAACAAACTTTAATTGAGGTTCCATTACAATTGATAAGTGGAATCTGCTCTGCCTATTTCTACAAATTTACTGAGACAAAGGTCACACTCAAAGATCATTTCCTCAGTAACTCTTTAGGATAAAAGGATATTATTTTCTACAATTATGATTAAAAGAAAAATGACAATATGAATTTTAACTATTATCCAACTGATAAAACTTTGGGTTCTGCATATTTACCTAATGGATGGCCTTTAGTTGCAGTATTGCACTTAATGGATCCATATGTAAAGCTTGAATCAAGAATTAGATTTTCAATCACTGATGCAATGTCATAGACGGGAGGATTTGCAGGAACGATTACACTTATATTCTTCTTATTAAGTAAATTTGCCAAATTAGGCTCATATGAAGAGGCTATGATTAAAAAATTATATTAAACCAAGGGTATATAAAAAGGAAATCTCATAAAAGATGGAGCGATTAAAGAGGATAATAAAAATAGAAAAAATATTATATAGATATTTAATTCAAATGAAACTGGATAGCAGGATCCTTGTTCTCCTTTTAAAAATTATTCAATAAAAAGTAGTGATGATATAAGTAGTGATTAGAGTTCCTACCTATGTCAAATAAAACAACTAGCAAATAAAGTACGCAATTCTTCTCCTATAAGCTGACAAAGTATTGTATAGTCTTTAAGATTTATCAGGATCTTATTTATGAAGTGTAAAAAGCCAATAGAATAAGATCATATTTACTAAGAAGCGAAAAAGCAGCTAGTTAAGTAACTAGACCTTATAAAAATAGTAAGAAAGCTTAGGAAACTTGATTTTTGCATGAATATACTTCTTTCGAATCAGGAAATTCAAATTGCCAACCTTGCCCAAAACCATTATATTGAATATGATAAAGATAAAAAAGTTGAAAGAAGCATTTCGATGATGAATTCAAAAGATCAATCCTAGGATATTAAATCAAAGCTTAAAGAAATGTTCGTCAAGAATATGCCACAACAAAGACATTAAATACTGCTAACAAAGCTATTAGAATTGTATCAAGTAACTTAGCCCAAGGAATTATCTAAGCAAGGCAAAACAATATCTTCAATGTAATCAGCGCTAAAAAGTGATAAAGTTAAAACTTTTAATATTTCATCGCGAAAATCTAGATAATCAGGTAAACTTCCTAAGAAACCTAAAAATGATTCAAACATAACGGCTGTAGACCTTGCAAAAGTGTTTGATATTAGAAGGAAACTCACTTAAAATATGGGAAAATAAAAATAAATTTCTTGATGAAATTGCTAGTAGGATGATTTAACCTTCATATTTAAATTTAGTTATTAGTTTTGATTTCATTAATACTTTTATTTCAGAACTGAAGTGGATGGAGGGGTTTTGGGGTTTTGGGG